CAGAAACTGGGTGGGTTGGGGCACTCCCAGAGCCCAAAATATTGGAAAAGAGAGGCTTGGGCACTCCCAGACTACAGAAATCCTGGGAACAGGGGCTTTGGGACACACCCAGACCCTCAAAATCCTAAGAACAGGGGGGTTTGGGACACGTCAGCCCCTCAAAAACTCCAGAATAGGGGGGTTGGGAACATTGACACCTTAAAACTCCTTAGAACAGGGGCATTTGGGCAATGTCATCCTCCCAATAACCCAGGAACAGGGGGGTTTGCCATCTCCCAGCCCCAAGAAATCCTGGAAAGAGAGGTTTAGGTACTCCCAGACCCCAACTTTTTGAGGAGGGAGGGGTTGGGGGGTCCTGGAAAGGCACTGGGAGGGGACTGGGAGAGACTGGGAGAGACTGGGAGGTGCTAGAAGGGACTGATGGCACTGGTCCCTGTCACTGGTGGCATTGGTGTCACTGGTGTCACTGGTCCCTGTAACTGATCCCACTGGTCCGACTGTTCTCACAGGTGTCACTGGTCTTACTGGTGTCATTGGTGTCACTGGTGTCTCTGGTCCCTGTAACTGATCCCATTGGTGTCACTGGTCTCCCTGGTGTCACTGGTCACAACTCTGGGGGTCTCTGGACAGTCCCTGGGGGTCCCCGGGGGATGCTCAAACGGCGCCGTGAGACTCCCAAAATCCAAGACAGACAAAGATTCCTCTCAGACCAAAAGTGCCAGGACAGAAATCTCCTCCTGGACACGGAGTCCGTGTCCCCCTGTTCCCCCTCGCCCCCAGCCCCTTTTCTCTCCCCCCCTTTCCTCTCCCCCCCTTTTCTCTCCCCGCCGGCGGCCGCAGCCCCTCCCCGTGGCCTCGGACCCAGTCGGGACCCGCCCCCGATCCCACCGGCCCTCAGCCAATCCCAAAGCGCCCACGCCGCCCGCGCCCAATCCCAGCGCGCCGCGCTGATGACTCATCAGTCGCCGGGAAGAACAGGCTCCAACAGGGCCCGAAACCGTCCCCAGGCTTTGCCCTCAGCCAATCAGAGAGCGCCCAAAAGCCCCCAAAAAGGACCCGCCCGGCTGGTTTTGGGCTGTCAGCAGCTGTCCGGCGCTGGGCATGGAGCGTGTGCGGGGAGCTGGGGCCGTGCTGGTGGTGCTGGTGGTGCTGGGAGCCCCCCCGGCTGCGGGCGAGGAGCTGTCAGGTGAGCGGGGGGGTGGGAAAGGGGGGGAAAGAGGGGAGAAAAGAGGGGGTGGGAGCCCCAAAAAAGTGAGTGCGAGGGGGTTTGGAAGGCCCGGAGTGAGTGGGAGGGGGAGTGGGAGCCCCAAAGTGAGGGCGGGGGGGTCTGGGGATTGTGGGGTCGGTGGGAAAGGGGTGGGAGAGGGGGGCAAGGGGGTGTGGGAGAGCTGGCAGAGGGGTGCCCTGGGGGTCCCTGGGTGTCCCTTGAGCCCTGGAGCGGTTCCCTGGGGCTCTAGGGGGATCGGATCGACATTGTGGGGGTCCCCAACCCCCCTGTCCACCCCGGGGGGCCGATGGGGGCGTTCCCCCCTACAAAGAGCCGGTGCTGGGGTGTCCGTGGGGCAGAGGGGATGGGAAAGGGGGGTCCGGGTTGGCCCCCTGAGCTCCCAGCCTGCTGTGGGGGGCTGGGGGATGATGGGGGGGACGGGGCACCCCCTGACCCGTGTCCTGCACACACAGGGGTGTTCCAGGAGATGGTAAAGTACGAGTGTCACTTCATCAACGGCACCGAGCGGGTGAGGTACGTGGTGAGGGTCATCTACAACCGGGAGCAGTTCGTGCACTTCGACAGCGATGTGGGGGTGTTTGTCGGGGACACCCCGTTTGGGGAGAAGGTTGCCAGGTACTGGAACAGCGACCCAGAATTCATGGAGAGCAAACGGTCTGCGGTGGACTGGCTCTGCCGGCACAACTACGGGGTGTACACTCTGCCTGCCGTGGAGAGGAGAGGTGAGCATGGGGCAGAGCGGGTCCCCTCGGGCCCTGCCCCGGGAATGACCCTGGAGCCCCTCAAACCCTCCCTGTGCCCATCCCGTGGCCTCTTTCGCCCTCCTAGTTCTTCCCAGTTTACTCCAGTCTGTCCCGGTCCATCCCAGTGTCTCCCAGTGCCCCCCCGCGTCTCCATGCGTTCATGTCATCGAGCTCCCGCCAGTCAGCCAATGAGAGTACGCCTCTCTATGACTCGCCTTTTTTCGAGGCGTCTTCCCGGCGACTGATGAGTCATCAGCGCGGCGCGCTGGGATTGGGCGCGGGCGGCGTGGGCGCTTTGGGATTGGCTGAGGGCCGTTGGGGGCCCCCGCGGCAGCCCCGGGGCTGGGGGGTTCGGGGGGGTCCGTGGGGGAGGGGGAAGCTCAGGTGAACCCAAAAATGGGCATCCAGGGAGAGCAGAGAATTGGGAAGCTTTACTGGGAACATCGGGAGCAGTCGGTTGGTGTCAGAACAAAAGCAGGTATAGGGGGACACACGACCCCCCCAAAATCAGCGCGGGGATGAATTGGGGGGTTCAGGCTGGGCCCCCTCATCCCTCTGAGGACCCTCTAAATCCCTTCTCAGCCTTTCCATTTTCCCACAAAGCCACTCCCATACCCAAAAGGCTCCCACAAAACTCCCTCCCAGTTGCCCCCAGGACTCCCCAAAGCCCCTCTCAGCCCTCCCAACACCCACCAACCTCTTCTCAGCCTCTCCATTCCCTCCCAGACCCTTTCCCTTACCCCCCAAACTCCCTCCCAGTTCCCCCCACGGCCCCCAGAGCCCCTCACCCCCCTCCCAGTGTGCCCCCGGTGCTGGGGGGGCCGGGCCGTACCCCAGTCCCGGCTGAGGGGGTGCTCCAGGCTGACGTGCTCCACCCGGCACCGGGGGGGATTTCCAGCATCCCCAGCACCTGGTAGGTCCAGTCCCCGTTGCCTCAAGAGAGTGCAGAGGAAAAGACTCCAGGCCAGGGGAGTGGATGAGATGAGATAAAGAGAGCAGGTCCTGTAGTGGAGCCTCAGGCCAGGGGAACACACACGACGGGCACCCCCAGGCAGTGGCTCTGGGATTTTAGAACAAGGTCCATCCAACCCCAGATCTCTCCACCCCCCACTTCTGCCCCATTCTGCCCCCGACACACCCCTTTGGGAATTGGGCTTGGGCTCTTTGGGACCCCTTCTTCCTCAGCTTCATCTTCTTCGCAGCTCCCACAGTCCTTGGAGCTCCTCCCGAGTTCTGGGCTTGAAGGTGGCTGTGTCTGTGTGATGTCTTCTGGTCCAGGCTTTTCTACAATTCTGCCTTGAAAAGAAGACTAAACACGCTAACGGGATTTAGAGGGGTTGATATGGGATGGGGTAACAGGGTTGGGGATGTGCAAACATTATGCTACAGGGTAAGGGATAGAATGCAGCTCCCTTAAAATCAACAATCACTACACCACTACTTCTAAAATCTACCAAAGTTAAAAATTCCAAAAAGCTCTGAGGCATCACACCTCTTCTTTTACAGTTCTATCACAACTTTTTATAAGTCAATCATATTATATTATAGAGCTCCATTTCTATGTTGTTAGGTACACCTTTTATATACTTTTATATAACTTTTATAAACTTTTTAATGTATTAATAAAATCCCAGAGATCTTGCTTGGAACTCCCCGCATCCAGGGACCGAGAGGATCTCCCTGAATAACTTTCAGTGGGCACTGGAATCCTCAGGATCCTGGAACCCCTGGAGCATCAACAGCTTTGTCCCTCCAAAGGGGTCCCAATTTGTTTCCAATGGTTCAGGAATACAAAATAACCCAAATACCAGTTTCCAAAACCAAATCAACTTATAAGTCCAGAAATCACAAGTTAATATCCAAAATAGCAGAAAGGATTTCTTCAAGATTCTTTCTTTGCAACCTGAAGTACCCATCATACAAAAGAAACCAAATACCTGTTTCCAAAACCAAATAAACCAAATACCAGTTCCAGAACCAAATAAACCAATGAGTCCAGACTCCCAAATTAATATCCAAAATCATGGCTGGGCTGCATGAACGAAGATTTGGGAAGGGCTCTGCCCACATTTGCTACAAGCACACTGGTGGTTAAAGAGGCCAATACGAGATAGACACGTCCAGTTGCAAAAGGCAGAGCAGAAAGACTCCTTGGATGGGATCGACAGGACACGGTTCTTTCTGCGTTGTCTTTTCTCTTCGATGGTGATCCTGCTGCGTTCTCAAAGGAAGCAGCAGCGTTAGAGATGGGGTGTCTCCAGACCTCCCGACTGGAGGCCAGAGTAGACCAGTGATGAAGATCAATGTGGCCAAGGCTGAGATGTTGTTTCAGGCAGTCCTTGTATCTCCTCTTCGGGGCTCCTCTCTTGCGGCAGCCGGTGGCAAGTTCACCACAGAGCACGATCTTAGGGAGGGGGTGGTTGGTCCTTCATCCTGGAGACGTGCCCTGCCCAGCACAGCTGTGTTCTCAGCAACGTGGCCTCAATACTTGTGACTGCTGCCTGTTCTAGAACAGATGGATTGGTCACATCATCTGACCAGTGGATGTTTAGGATTGTACGGAGGCAGCGTTGATGGAAGCGTTCCAGGAGTCGCAGGTGGTGGCTGTAGATGACCCATGATTCGGACCCATATGAGAGAGTAGACAGCACAATGGCTCTGTAAACACTGATCTTTGTGCTTTTCTTCAGGTGTTTATTTTGCCAAACTCTTTTATGGAGTTTTTGGAAAGCATTATATGCCTTTGCTAACCTGTTGTCCATCTCTCCGTCAATCTCACCATCCGAGGAGATGAGGCTCCCTAGGTAATTAAACTGCTGGACTGATTTGAGCTCTGACTGGCCAATGGTGATATGGGGATGATGGGAGACTTCCTGAGGTGCAGGTTGATGGAGAACTTCTGTCTTCTTTAAGCTGACTTCCAGCCCAAAGAGCTCAGCAGCCTCAGCAAAGCAGGATGTTAAACGCTGCAGAGCTGCTTCTGTGTGGGCGACGAGGGCGGCGTCATCAGCATAAAGCAGCTCCCGGACAAGATGGTTTAAGGTCTTGGTGTGGGCCTTCAGTCCCCTTAGGTTGAAAAGGCTTCCATCAGTACGGTATCGGATGTAGATCCCGTCCTGATCTGGTGTATGAACTGGTACAAGGAGTCGGCGTCATGTCTCCTCATGTGCCAGTTCAGGGAGGCCTTTTGGCGGCACGTGAAGCCGCAGATCTCACACCTGGGAAACGGGGATGGGATGGGGCTCAGGAAACAGGGATGGGCTGGGATGGGGCTCAGGAAACAGGGGGGGCTCAGGAAACAGGGATAGAGAGGGATGGGGCTCAGGAAACACAGGGAGCAGCAAGGACTTAGACTTACTGGGATGGTGGGATGGGACTGGGACTCACTGGGAGGGGCAGGAATGGGTCTGGGACTCACTGGGATGATGGGGTGGGACTGGGACTCACTGGGATGGTGGGAATGACTCACTGGGAAGGGCAGGGATGGGACTGGGACTCACTGGAGTGGCTTCTCCCCGGTGTGGATGCGTGGATGCGCCGGTGGATGAGGAGGTTGCTGCTGGTGCGGAAGGAGCGGGCGCAGAACTCGCAGATGAAATCCCGCTGGTCTGGGGGGGAAAAGGTACCGGGATCAGATCCCCCTGGAAGGAACTGGGATCCCTCTGAAATGTCCTGGGATCCCTCTGGAATGTCCCCCTCACCGCTGTGCAGCTTCTGGTGCTCCTTGAGGTGCTTCTTGAAGTTGAAGGATTTGCCGCAGGAGGACTCGGGGCAGGTGAAGGTTTTCTGGTGAACGTGCTGGTACTTCTGGTGGTGCTGCAGGATCAGGAAAAACCCTCCTCAGATCCCAAATCCCGGCCCCAGGGGGGCCCAGGGTGGGGTTTGGGTGGTTCTGAGTGGTTTTCGGTGGGTTTTGGGGGAGTTTGGGTGGTTTGGGCAGTTTTTGAGTGGTTTCGGACGGGGTTTGGGCGGGTTTGGGGCGGGTTTTGGCTGATTTTTGGTAGTTTTGGGGGGGATTTGGGTGGGTTTGGGTGGAATTTGAGTGGTTTTGGGTGGGTTTCAGGCAGGTTTGAGGGTCTCACGTTCAGGTACTGGCGGTTGGAGAAGATTTTCCCGCAGCCCTCGAAGTCGCAGAGGAGGATCTCGCACTTCGCCGCCTTCCTGGAAAAACCAAAAACCAGGAAAACCCTTCCCAGGGCAGGGCTGGAAAACCTTTGGGATGCCCCTCTGGCTCCCTCCTCCACCCTCCTCACCCCTTTTCCCTCTTTTCCTTCTCCCCTTGGAGCTGCTCCCTCTTTCCCCCCCCCTAAAACCTTCCCTGGAGCTGCTCCTCATCCTCCCCACGGGTTGGGAAGAGCCCCGGGAGCTCCTCCAGCCCCTTCCCTTCCCCTTTTTTTGGGTACCTGATCCTTTTGGGGCCGATCTGAGCCTCCTCCTCGTCCTTCCCCTGCGTCCTCCTCCGGCACCTGCAACGGGAAAAACCTGGATGAGTCCCCTCCTTGTCCCCTCATTGTCCCACCAGGAAATTCCCAAGGAAATCCCACTTTAAATCCATCAGTTCTCTCTTTTTCCCCTCCCATTTTTCCCCCATCCCTTGGGAGCAGGAGGCACTGGAACAAACACACGGCTCAGGAGTTGAAAAGGGGGGAATAAATCCTTTATTTGTTCCCAAAAAAATCCATTCCCAAGCTTTGGCTGCAATCCCAGGATGAAGATCCCAGCCTGGATCGATCCAGAATTCATCCCCAGCTCCCCCTGGAATTGAGGTGCCCCTGGAATTGAGGGAAGAGCCGTTAAAAATGGATTAAAGGGGGTTTTTTTGGGATTTGGGTCCCAAATGGGTTTAAAAGGGTTTTTTATCAGCTCAGGGTTGACTTTACCTGGGGGAGGGAGGAGAGGAGGAACCCCCAGGATGGGCTGGAAGTTCTTGCTCTGCTCAGAAATAAGGATTTTAGCACTATTTTCCACTTCCTGGGAGAAAAATTAATGAAAATGGTTAAAAATACAATCCCTGCCCCCAAAGCTGAAGCTCAGGCTGGGCTTTGGTGGCCCCTTCCCTAAATCCCAGGGGTGACTTTGGAGATGTGGATCCTGGGATTTGGGACAGAAACCCCCCCATAAAACCCCACCAGAAGGGTGGGGAAAAACCCCCACATTTAATAATGTTTAATTTAATAATATATTTATCATATATGATTATATAAATATGTTATTATATTAATATTAATATTAATATTAATGTTATTGACATTAATATTATTAATATGCATTAATACATTAATATTAATTATACTATATCAATAGCAATATTAATATAATGTTATATTAATGATTATTAATAATATTAATAACACAATATTATTTTATTGATAATAATTACATTAATACTACAAATATATTGTATCTATAATAATTATTATTTTATTATTAATAATTATTAATATTATTAATATCATTGATACATGCTAATATATTAATATTAATGATATTGTATCAATATTAATACTAATATAATAATATTTATTAATAATTGTTAATAAGGATATTGATAATACAAATAATATTAATTTATTAATAATTATTATAGTAATAATACAAATATATTGTATAGATAATAATTCTTATTTTATTAATAATAATTATTATTATTAAAAATAATGTTATTAATAGGTGTTAATATATTAATATTAATTATATTATATCAATGTTAATACTAATAGATCAGTATTTTATTAGGAATGATTATTAATAATAATATTGATAATACAAATAATATTACTTTATTAAGATTATATTAATAATACAAATATAATATATAAATATGTTGTATTAATTAATTATAATTATTGTATTACATATTATATAATTTATATTATATATATTATTATATATTATGCAATATATATTATAATATATTATGCATATCATATATAATATATTATATAATATATATTATATAATAATTGTAAAAATCATATAAATACTATATGAATATATTATATAATATATAAATATAATATATTCAATAAAATATTTAACAATCAAAACCCACTTTTGGCCTCAGCAGGGAGGGCCCAGACCCCCACCCAGAGCTTCCCACCCCCCAAAACTGGACTTGGGAGCCCAGGGAAGAGGAAATTCCAGCCTCACCTTCCCTGGGCTCAGCTCTCCTGGAAGGTCTCTGCTCTTCCAGAGGGTCTGGAGCTGCCAGGAGAGGGAGGGGAGGGGGTTCAGCATCCAAAAACTGCCCCTCGGGGGGGGAAAAGGTTGATGGGAGCAGCAAAGGACTCACCTGGGGATGGGGCTGGGCCGAAAAAAGGGGATTTCAACCCCTTGGACGTGTTGGAAGTGCCGGAAAAAAGGGGATTTCAACCCCTTTGATGTCTTGGAAGTGTCAGAAAAAAGGGAATTTCAACCCCTTTGATGTCTTGGAAGTGTCAGAAAATCCGTGCAGGGGTGTCAGAGCTCCAGAGCAGCCCCCAGCCCAGCAGAGCCCCCTGCAGGGAGGGATTTGGGGTCATTTATAGCCCCATAACCAGGGAATTCTGAGCTGGGATCCATGGATTTGGGGCTGGGAGGGTCTTTGTCCCCATCCCCTGCCCCCCTCGGCCCCTCCTGGCTCCCCACGAGGGTCACAGGGGTTGGGGATCCCCCCCCCCAGCAAGGTCAGGGAGCCAAAAACCCTCCAAATTTGAGTGCTGGACACCCAAACCAGGCCCAGGAACACGGATCTGCCCTGTGGTGGCCAGTGGGGTCATGGGGAGGGGGGACACCCCCCCTTGGGGACACAAGGCTCGTGCCCTGCCCTCAACACCTGCCCACCTTTGGGTGGTCCCAGCGGGTCCCTCAGCATGGAGACAGAGACAGAAACCCCCCCAGATCACCCCAAAAATACTCCCCCTGTGACCACAAAAACGCTCCCCCTGTGACCCCAAAATGCTCCCCCCAGTGACCCCAAAACGCTCCCCCCATGACCCAAAAATGCTCCCCCTGTGACCCCAAAATGCTCCCCCTGTGACCCAAAAAAGCTCCTTCTGTGACCCCAAAATGCTCCCCCCGTGACCCCACAACGCTCCCCCTGTGACCCCAAAATTTTCCCCCTGTGACCCCAAAACAGGGGGATAAATGGGGTGGGTGAGGGGGTTTGGGGGGATAAATGGGGTGGGTGAGGGGGTTTGGGGGGATAAATGGGGTGGGTGAGGGGGTTGGGGGGATAAATGGGGTGGGTGAGGGGGTTGGGGGGGGCTGGGATGTTGGGGGAGTCTGGGGGGGAATGGGCTGGATGTGGTTTGGGCGTAGAAGGACTTGGGCTGGACATGGAAGGATGTGGAAGGACATGGAAAGACATGGGTTGGACATGGGTTGGACATGGGTTGGATGAGGTTGGACATGATTGGACATGGGTTGGACATGGGTTGGACATGGGTTGGACATGGGTTGGACATGGGTTGGACATGGTTAGACATGGGTTGGACATGGGTTGGACATGGTTAGATGTGGGTTGGACATGGTTAGATGTGGGTTGGACATGGGTTGGACATGGGTTGGATGGGATGGGCAAGAAGAGGAGCCCAACAGGCTCCCAGTGCCTCACTGGTCTGTACTGGGACACAGAGGAGGAGGAGCCCAACAGGCTCCCAGTGCCTCACTGGTCTGTACTGGGACACAGAGGAGGAGGAGCCCAACAGGCTCCCAGTGCCTCACTGGTCTGTACTGGGACACAGAGGAGGAGGAGCCCAACAGGCTCCCAGTGCCTCACTGGTCTGTACTGGGACCTCACCTGCCCGGGCCCGGGTGGTAGCTCTGGTCCCTCAGGTCATCACTGTAGGCCAGGTCATCTTCCTCCTCCTCCTCCTCTTCCTCCCGGTCCTTCTCCTCCTCCTCCTCCTCCTCCTCCTGGTCCTTCTCCTGCTCCTCCTCCTCCTCCTCCTGGGGCTCATTCCCAGGCTCCTTCTTGGGGCTGGAGCTGCAGGACACAGACACCAGGGGGGGTCAGCCTGGGTGGGGGCCCAGGGAGGGGCTGGATGGGGACAAAGGGGACAATCTGGGGGGGTCACCACTCACCTCCCGCCCGCTGCTGCCACGGGGGACGGCTCTGGGGGCACCTGGGGGGCTGCAAGGGGACAGGGGGGTGATGGGGGGGGACAGGGGGGAGATGGGGTGGGACAGGAGGGTGATGGGGGGGCTGAAAGGGGACAGGAGGGTAATGGAGGGGACAGGAAGGGATTGGAAGGGGACAGGAGGGTGATGGGGGGGTGGAAGGGGACAGAAGGGTGATGGGGGTGGCCATGAGAGGAAGAGGAGGAGGAGGGTGAGGATGGAGGGTGGGGAAGGGCCCCGGGTTGTCCCAACCCCTGATCCCAGTGGGACGAGCCCCCCGGAGCGTGATGGGGTTGGGGGTGCTGGTGGGTGATGGTGGGGACCCAGGGGGTACTGAGGGCACAGAGGTGACCCTGGGCAGGGGGGGGAACTCACCTGTGCCCCCAGCCCCACCGTGCCCCCCTTCCTCCTCTTCCTCTTCCTCCTCCTCCTTATCCGAGGGGTCTCCCGGCCCTGGGGGGGCTCGTGGGGGTGTCCCAGGCCCCCCAGGGCCCCCCCAGGAGAAGCGGTGCCCGGCCACGCACTCCCAGACCAGGGGGTCGGCGCTGCCCGGCGCCGGCGGCTGCATGTCGGGCACAAAGCCACACTCCTGCCCGTGCCCCTGGGACAGGAGCACCAGGCGCTGCAGGGAGGCTGGGTGGAGATGGCCTGGCTCCCCTGGATCCCCTGGGAGACACCAGAAATAGGGAAAATCCTTGAGGAAATGGGTCAGAGAGGGAGGTTTGGGGGGGCACGAATGGGGGAAATACAGAAATCTTTGAGGAAATGGTTTCGAAATAGGGGTGGGGGGGGGGGTTAAACAGGGAAAATATGGAAATTTTTGAGGGAATGGTTCCAAGATGGTGTTTTGGGGGCATAGCTGGGGGGGATCAAATAGCAAAACATGGAAATCTTTGAGGAAACGGCTCCAAAAAGGGGGTTTGGGGGGGGTCAAACAGGGAAAACACGGAAATCCTTGAGGAAATGGTTCCAAAAGGGGGTTTGGGGGAAACGTGGAAATCCTTAAGGAAATGGTTCCAAAATAGGGGTCTGGGGGGTTAAATAGCAAAATATGGAAATCCTTGAGGAAATGGTTCCAAAAGGGGGGTTTGGGAGGGTTAAACAGGGAAAACACGGAAATCTTTGAGGAAAGGGCTCCTAAATGGTGTTTTGGGGGGGTTAAACAGAGAAAACACGGAAATCCTTGAAGAAATGGTTCCAAAATGGTGGGTTTTTTTGGGGGGGAGATTCAACCTGGGAGGGCCAGGAACCCTCTCTCTGCACTGACATCCAAATGGGTGGGCAGCACCCCGATTTTGGGGAGGGGGAGGCACCCACCTGAGCTCCGGGGACCGCCGGGGTTGCTGTACCTGTGTGAATAAGGTGGGGGGGTCAGCAGGGGCAGAGCCGGCCCGACCCCAACCCTGGGTGAAGGGGGTGAATTTTGGGGGGCTCAGGGGACCCCCCCAGCGACCTGTTGAGCAGGAACTGGGCGAGCTGGGAGTGCAGGGCGAAGCCGAGCTGCTCCTTGAGGCGGCACCAGCGCTCCAGGTGCCCCCGATGCGGATCCGGCAGCGGCTCCGCCGCGCGTCCAACTCCCGCCGCCGCTGCCGCCGGACAACCTCGGGGGCTCGGGGGCGACCCCCCCGCGCCGGGGACACGGGCAGGGGCTGGGGGGGACAAGGGGAGGGGTCAGGGGGTCGGCTGGGGTGGGAGCACAGCCAGGGATCGGGGTGGACTGGGGGACAGGGAGGGGTTGGGGAGACAGGGAGAGTCAGGGTGGGTGGGCTGGGATCGCAGGGAGGGGCTGGGGGGGACAGGGAGGGGTTGGGGGGACAGGGGAGGATCAGGGGGGCTGAGGGGACGGGGGGGGTTGGGGGCACAGGGGAGGGTCAGGGGGGTGGGCTGGAAGCACGGGGAGGGGTTGGGGGGACAAAGGAGGGGCTGGATGGGGAATCAAGTGAGGAATTTGGGGTGTCCTGGCTCCGGGGGGGGGGGGGGGGGGGGGGGGGGGGTGGGGGGGGGGTGTCAGGTGAGGAATTTGGGGTGTCCTGGCTCCACGGGGGGGGGTCAGGTGAGGAATTTGGGGTGTCCTGGCTCCATTGGGGGGTGGGTCTGGGGGGGTTCAGGTGGGGCCACAAGGACACGAGAGGGGTCGGGGGGGTCACAAGAAAGGGAGGGCTGAGGGGGGGGAACCCCCGCACTGCCCCAAGCCCCACCCCAGTCCCCGCCCCCTCGCCTTGACCCTGCCCCTCGCCCCCCGATGCCACCTCCCTCTTGGCCCCGCCCCCCCACAAGCCCCGCCCCCCCACCGTTCCCCCCCCGCCCGTTCCCGCCGCCGGGCCTTAAAGCGGGGGGGGAAGCGGCGGCACAACGGCGGCGGGCGGGAGGGGAAGGGCAGGGCTTTGGGGGCTCCCTCCCGCTCCCGCCGCCCCCTCCCCGTCCCCCCCGACCTCCTCCGCCGCTCCGCGCTCCATCCCGCGCCGAGGGGGCCCCACCCCGGGCCGTGCCCCCTTTAAGAGCCGCCGGACGTGCCCCCCCCCCTCACGCCGCTGAGGGACCCCGCCAAGACGGCGGAGGCCCCGCCCACTGCGCGCGGGAAGGGCGCGGGGAACGCTGGGAGGTGTAGTCCCGCGCGGGGCATGATGGGAAACTCCCCGTGGGGATGAGGGGGGGACACGGGAGAGGTCGGGGGGCAAGGGGGGGGGACCCAGGGACACGGGTGGACACGGGAGACGCGGGGGGTCACGGGGAGACACGAGGGGACACGGAATACGGGAGAACACAGGGGGGACACGGGAGGGGGCGAGGGGGCCACGGGGAGACACGGGAGAGGAGGGGGGACATGGAGGAACACAGGAGAGGAGGGGGGACACGGAGGAACACAGGAGAGGAGGGGGGACATGGAGGAACACAGGAGAGGAGGGGGGACATGGAGGAACAAGGAGAGGAGGGGGGACATGGAGGAACACAGGAGAGGAGGGGGGATACAGAGGAACACAGGAGAGGAGGGGGGATACAGAGGAGTACAGGAGAGGAGGGGGGATACAGAGGAATACAGGGACACGGGGGGACCCAGAGGAACACGGGACGGGGCTGTTACGGGAGTACATCCAGGTCCCAAAGGGCATCGAAACCCCAAACACAGCCCCGTACGAGGGGGGAGCAGAGCCACTGCTGGGGGCACGGGGGGGGGGGGTGGGGGCAGAGGATCCTTTATCCCCCGTGCGCACCTCCAAGGTGGGCAGCAAAGTCCCGTTTTTTTAGGGCTGCAACTGGCCGGGGAGCCCTCGTGTACTCCTCAGACCCGGCCTCCTCCGCGGAGGATGTGCCGTCCCGTAACCGCCCCGTCCCGTGTCCCCCTGGGTCACCCCCGTGTCCCTGTGTTCCTCCGTGTCCCCCCGCGTCTTCTGCGTCCCCCCCGGTGTCCTCCCATGTTCCTTGGGTCTCCACGTATTCCTGCGTTCCTCGGCGACAATATCTCCTCTGCCTCGTCCCTGCCCTCCTCGGCAACATTTTCGCGTCTGCCTTGACCCTGCCCTCCTCAGCGACAGTCTCTCCTCTGCCTCGTCCCCGCCCCCGGGACAATCTCTCCTCTGCCTCGTCCCCGCCTTCCTCGGCAACATTTTCGTGTCCTCTGCCTCGTCACTGCCTCCTCAGCGACAATCTCTCCTCTGCCTCGTCCCTACCTTCCTCGACGTTTTCGGGTCTGCCTTGTCCCCGCCCTCCTCGGCAACATTTTCGCGTTTGCCTCGTCCCTGCCCTCCTCAGCGACAATCTCTCCTCTGCCTCGTCCCCAACACGACGAACAGCGCCCTGATGGCTGCACAGCGATCGTGCCGCGCCGGGCGAGAACGCGAACGACGAACATTGCCGTGCTCGCCTGCACAGCGATCAGAGCGCCCCGGGCGAGAAGGAGAACGAACCGCGCCCGGCTGCCCGGCGATCGGAGCGCCCCGGGCTTTCTTCCTACGCTCCTCTCATTGGCCGGAGCTGGTCAGCGCGTCATGTTGCACCCGCCCCCGTGTGCCTGAAATGCCCCGGCACCGAAACGCAGGTGTGCAAACGCGGGGAATCGTCGGCGGAGAAGAAGGAAAAGGAGAAAGAGGAGGAGAAGAAGGAGAAGGAGAGCGCGTGTTGTCCAGGCGCAGGTGGGAACCGCTCGGTGCTGCCGGGGCTCGGGGAGCGGGAGGGGGTGAAAAGGGGGGTCTGGAGGGTTCGCCTTGCCCTGGGCGGGGAGTGCTGGCGGTGCTGGGGAGGGGGCTCTGGCGAGCACTGGAGGTGAAGAGTTTGGAGCGTTGGCCCCCGGTGGCTCTCACCGGGTCTCAGCGCCGGCCCCGCGCAGCCCGATCGCTCATCGCGCCGCATCGGCCGCGGGGTCGGGGAGAGGGGAGCGGGGGGAGCCACCGATCGGGCCGGCGGGGCTGTCCCTGTACCCAACCGTGCGCCCCCGTCGGGGATCGTCCCGGTGCCTCCCGGTCGGACAGAGTTGGCTGCCCCGTCCCCGGGAGTGTTCCCGGCCAGGTGGGACCGGGCTTGGAGCCACCGGGGCTGCTGCGAGGTGTCCGGGGCAGCGGGGGGATGGGATGGGCTTGAAGGTCCCTCCCATCCCAAACCATTCTTGGATTGAATGACAGATGCGATCCTGCCATGCCGGGGCTGGAGCCACCGCGCTGCTGCTTTTCTTTCCGGTCCCCGGCACAGTTTACAAGCAGTGACTCATTAGTCCAGGCAGGAGCCGCTGGGCGCAGTCCCTCTCTGGACTGTTCTCTACCTATTCTCTACAGTCTGACACAATGCTCTGGGGAACGGCCCTACACGTGTGGGGAGTGTGGGAAGAGCTTCAGTGACAGCTCCACCCTGATCCAACACCGGCACATCCACAGTGGGGAGGGCCCTACAAGTGCTTGGAATGTGGGGAGAGGTTTCAGACCAGCTCAGATGTCCTCAGGCATGAGCAGACACACACAGGGGAGAGGCACTGACTGCGGGAAGGGCTTCAAGCAGAACTCCGGTCTTGTCAAGCACCAGCACATCCACACCGGAGAGAGACCCTGCAAGTGTGGGGAGTGTGGGAAGAGCTTCTCCAGGAGCTCTGCCTTGACCTCACACCAATGGACCCACCCATTATCCTGAGGATGTGGGGAGCCCCTCTGACCCCCTGCTGTGCCCCCTCCAGGCCATCCTGCACTAGGAGGGGCACATGGACTGTGGGGGCCTCTGGGGGTCCCTGTTTACCTGGGGGGGGGGGGTCCCTGTGGGTCTGGGAGTGTCCCTGTGGGTCTCTGTGGATTCGGAGGGGTCCCCGGGGGTCCCTCTGACCCCTCCATGCCCCCCCCCCGGCCATCCTGCCCCAGGAGGGGCATGGGGGCTCTGGGGGGTCACTGTGAGTCTGGGGAGGTCCCTGTAGGTCTGTGTGTATCTGGGGGAGCCTAGGGGGTCCCTGAGGATTTGAGGTCCACCCTCTGACCCCCCGTCTCCCCCCCAGGCCATCCTGCACCAGGAGGGGCACGTGGATGACACTCTGACCCTCACCCACTCCCAGCACCAGGAGTCGCAGGTTCCTGGTCGCAGGAACACAAGGCAAACATCTGTAGTGGTGTTAAATCTGCACTCAAAGAGGTTTTTTTCTCCCCTAGCAATGCCTCAGGTTCAAGATGGGGCTTGTCCCGGTCAGGAAGGTGCCTCTTCTAACTGGAATGGTGAGAATGCAGAGGAGTCCCTGAGTCTCCGGGATGGAACAGAAAACAGGAATATACACAAAACGATCCTTGGGAAATGTCAGGGTGAGTGCAGGGCCACCTGTGGCCTGTAGGGAGGGGACAGTGTTGCCAACAGAGGACGGGGATGGCAGGTGTGAGGCTGCTCCAGGGGTCTGGAAGAGGCCTCTCACCCCGTCAGTGGCTGGTGCCGACACTTCTGGCTGCTCTGGTGTTGGCTGGGGGGATGTGAGGGCTGGGCCTGCTCAGGACAGCCCCATCCTCACGGCCACTGTCTCTTTCCAGCTCTAGTCAATTGGTTCAGTTCCTGCCGAGGGCTGACTGTGCTCCTGTGTGTGATCCTGGTTTTAGTGGTGGCTGTGATTGTGCTGGCAGGTAAGGGAGGAGCAGCTACCTCACCCAACCCCTCTGCACAGGGCTGGGGTCCATGCTCTGTGTGGAGGGGAATCCTCAAATTCTTTGTCTCCCTTTGTCTCTCCAGTTGCACTTAAGTTTTCACAGCGTGTGGCTTGTCCTGAGGCCTGGGAGCAGCACAACAGCGTCTGTTACTACCTCTTGAGGGATGGGAGGACCTGGGAGCAGGCTCAGAATCGGTGCTCCGAGCTCGGGGCCTCCCTGGCCGTGCTCAGCGACAAGGCAATGGTGAGTGAGGGGCTCTGGGGGGTGTTTGGGGGGCAGAGGAGAGGCTGAGGGAGGTTCCTAGCCCGGGGCAGCTCTCACTGCCCGTTCCTCTCTCCCTCCCAGGACCACCTCCTCTCTCCCTCCCCGGACCACGTCTTCCGCCTCAATGGCAACCTGGATTACTGGCTCGGGCTGCGGAGACGGGGCGAGAGGTTTCAGTGGGTGGACGGCAGCAGCTACAACTCCTCGTGAGTCCCGGGGGGACGGGCAGGGGATGGGGGGGATGAGACTGCTGGGACTGTCCCTCCTGGGCAGCGCTTGTCTCCTCATCTGCTGGGGGGAATGGGCAGAGACGACCTGTCCTGTTAACAGCCCTGCCCTGTAACAGCGCTGTCTCTGCTCCTCATTGCAGGCTGGAGGTCCTTGGCAATTCAGAGTGTGTGTACCTGGCGGACCATAAACTCAGGAGTGAGGACTGTTCAACAGAGCGGGCGTATCTCTGCAGCAAACCCCAACCTCACCTGTAATGGAAGTGAGGGAGAAAGGACCTTCTCCATCCTGAAGACTCACAGCTTTCCTTCTTCCACTAGCCCAGGGATGTCCTTCCACAGATGAACATTTGCTTTGTGACACATCTCAGCACAACCTCAGGAACCTCAGTGCCTTTTGTCATTGTCACCTCAGTAGCTGGTCTCAAGGAGGTGAACCTGCAGGGACATGATGTGGAAGTGGACGTGTGCCTTTGTGGACTAGGGGTTTCTTTCTCCAGAAGTCTTCCTCATTCTCTATTTATATTTACTTTATATTTATACTCTAACAGTTTACACTACTTGCACTGTATTCAAGCACTAGAGTGCCTGAATGTGCTCATGTAAAGTATTTTTCCATTGCTGAACGCTACTTGAATCAATGAATGTGAACCTGGGATGTCCTGATTGTGGCCTCAGCAGAGTTACTGTATCAGTGCTGCCGCTGTGCTTCTCTCTTCTTCTCCTTTTTTACTCATTTGTATTAAAGTTTGTACGACCCCACTGCTGTCCCTCACGTCCTGGTCAGCACCAACAGCCCCTTCCCTTCCTGTGTTCCATCCCAGGGAAAACACAGCCCGGGGGACCTCATTTCCCTCCCTTGCCCCCCAGCAGGTACTGGGAGGCACTGGGGAGCATCAGGGAGCATTAGAGGGCACAGGGGGGGACTGGGAAAAGACTGGTGGGCACTGGGGAACACTGGATCTGGGCTGGGAGGCACTAGGGAGTATTGGTGGGCACTTGGAGGGCACCAGGGCACGCTGGGAGGATCTGGGGGATACTGGGAGGCACTGGGGGTTATTAGGAAGGGCACGTACCTCCACCAGCACAGCTCACAACCTCATAAGGGCACACAAGCTTCTGCCCCACTAAAATGATTAGGGCAAGCCTTTCACTCCCTACTTTTCCTGAGCCACCTACACACAGTCCCAGGGGTATTCCCGGGGAGATTCGCTCACCCACGACCCTCCGAGCAGGACTGTCCCACCCGCCCTCCTGCCGGTCCGGGGACCCCCCAGCCCGCCAGGCCCCCTCCGCCTCCCCCAAATTGGACTGGCAAAAAGCTCTGTGTGGTCCGAAGTCCCTCCTCTCCTCTCGCCCGGTGCCGCAGCCGCCACCACCCCCTCGGTGTGAGGGGGCCGTCCGGGGAACGGCTCCTGTTACACCCGCCCGCCAGCACTGAACGGCAGGTACCCAAACGCGGGGAAGCGGCGGCGGAGAAGAAGGAGAAGGAGAAAGAGAAGAAGAAGGAGAAAGAGAAGGGAGAAAGAGAAGGAGAAGGAGAAGGAGAAGGAGAAGGAGAAGGAGAAGGAGAAGGAGAAGGAGAAGGAGAAGGAGAAGAAGAAGGGAGAAGGGAGAAGGAGAGCGCGTGTGGTCCAGGCGCAGGTGGGATGCGCTCGGTGCTGCCGGGGCTCGGGGAGCGGGAGGGGGCAAAAAGGGGGGTCTGGAGGGTTCGCCTTGCCCTGGGTGGAGAGTGTGTGCTGGGAGCCGGGCTCTGGCCGCCCGCCCCGGCGGAGGGCGGGACCGCCCTCTCCCGCCACGAGGTGCGGTCCAGGGGCAAGTGGGATCCGCTCGGTCCTGCCGGGGCTCCGGGAGCGGGAGGGGGCGAAAAGGGGGGTCTGGAGGGTTCGCCTTGCCCTGAGTGGAGAGTGTCGGCGGTTCTGGGGAGGGGGCTCTGGCGGGCGCTGGGGGTGAAGTGTTTCGATCGGTGGCCCCCGGTGGCTCTCACCGGGTCTCAGCGCCGGCCCCGCGTAGCCCGATCGCTCATCGCGCCGCATGCCTGGGTCAGCGCCGTGTCCCCGTGTTCCTCCTCGTCCCCCCGCCCCTCCCGTGTTCCTCCCGTGTTGCGACCCACCGGCAGAGGCAGCCGGCGGCGTTGGTGACAAGGGGCGGAGCCGGGCGGGGAGGGCGGGGGGGGCGCGGGCGGTCCAGGCGCAGGTGGGATCCGCTCGTTGCTGCGGGGGCTCGGGGAGCGGGAGGGGGCGAAAAAGGGGGTCTGGTGGGTTCGCCTTGCCCTGGGCCGGGGGGTACTGGCGGTGCGGGCGCTGGAGGTGAAGAGTTTGGAGCGTTGGCCCCCGGTGGCTCTCACCGGGTCTCAGCGCCGGCCCCGCGCAGCCCGATCGCTCATCGCGCCGCATCGGCCGCGGGGGCGGGGAGCGGGGAGCGGGGGGAGCCACCGATCGGGCCGGCGGGGCTGTCCCTGTACCCAACCGTGCGCCCCCGTCGGGGATCGTCCCGGTGCCTCCCGGTCGGACAGAGTTGGCTGCCCCGTCCCCGGGAGTGTTCCCGGCCAGGTGGGACCGGGCTTGGAGCCACCGGAGCTGCTGCGAGGTGTCCGGGGCAGCGGGGGGATGGGATGGGCTTGAAGGTCCCTCCCGTCCCAAACCATTCTTGGATTGAATGACAGATGCGATCCTGCAGCCAGCCTGGAGAAGATCGCGCTGCTGCTTTTCTTTCCGGTCCCTGGGACATTTCGCAAGCAGTGACTCATTCGTCGGCTCTCAGTGTCCCTGGGCTCCAAACTGCTGGGGCAGGAGCCGCTGGGCACAATCCCCCTCTCTGGACTGTTCTCTATGTATTCTCTACAGTCTGACACAGTGCTCCTGTTAAATCTGCACTCAAAGAGGGTTTTTATTTCACCCCTAGCGATGCCTCAGATTCAAGACACGGCTTGTCCCCTTCAAGAAGGTGCCTCTTCTAACTTTGCTGTGATTCAAGATATGGAGGGTGAACACAACTGGAATGGTGAGAATGCAGAGGAGTCCCTGAGTCACCAGGATGGATCAGAAACAAGGAAGACCCTCAGAAAACATCTGGGTGAGTGCAGGGCCACCTGTGGCCTGTAGGGAGGGGACAGTGTCACCCCACCAGGGCAGGGCTGGCAAGTGTGAGGCTGCTCCAGTGGTCTGGAAGAGGCCTCTCGGCCCCGTCAGTGGCTGGTGCCGACACTTCTGGCTGCTCTGGTGTTGGCTGGGGGGATGTGAGGGCTGGGCCTGCTCAGGACAGCTCCGTCCTCACGGCCAGTGGCTCTTTCCTCCTCCAGGCAATTGGTTCAGATCCCACCGGGGGCTGACTGTGCTCCTGGTGCTGTCTGTGCTCCTGATCCTGGCTTTGGTGGTGGCCGTGGCTGTGCTGTCAGGTGAGGAAGGAGCAGCTGCCTCAGCACAGAGGCAGCTCTGGGCACAGGGCTGGGCTCCCTGCTCCCTGTGGAGGGGAATCCTCAGACATTCTCCCTTTCCTTCTTCAGAAAGACTTAGAGAGATTCCAGTCACACCTGGGGCTCCAAAATTTCTGACCTGTCCCGAGGCCTGGATCGGGTACAACAGGGTCTGTTACTACCTCTCGAGGGATGAGGGGACCTGGGAGCAGGCTCGGGATCGGTGCTCTGAGCTCGGGGCCTCCCTGGCCGTGCTCAGCGACAAGGAGATGGTGAGTGAGGGGCTCTGGGGGGTGTGTGGGTGGCAGAGGGGAGGCTGAGGGGGGTTCCTGGCCCGGGGCAGCTCTCACTGCCCACTCCTCTCTCCCTCCCAGGGCTTCCTCTTCCGCCTCAATGGCAACCTGGATTACTGGCTCGGGCTGCGGAGACGGGGCGAGAGGTTTCAGTGGGTGGACGGCAGCAGCTACAACTCCTCGTGAGTCCCGGGGGGACGGGCAGGGGATGGGGGGGATGAGGCTGCTGGGACTGTCCCTCCTGGGCAGCGCTTGTCTCCTCATGTGCTGGTGCAACGGGCAGAGACGACCTGTCCTGTTAACAGACCTGTCCTGTAACAGCGCTGTCTCTGCTCCTCATTGCAGGCTGGAGGTCCTTGGCAATTCAGAGTGTGTGTACCTGGCGGACCATAAACTCAGGAGTGAGAACTGTTCAAAGCAGCTGCCGTATCTCTGCAGCAAACCCCAACCTCACCTGTACTAGAAGTGAGGGAGAAAGGACCTTCTCCATCCTGAAGACACAGCTTTCCTTCTTCCACTAGCCCAGGGATGTCCTTCTGCGGGTGAATGTTTACTTTGTGACACATCTCAGCACAACCTCAGGAACCTTGGTGCCTTTTGTCATTGTCACCTCAGTAGCTGGTCTCAAGGTGAACCTGCAGGGACATGATGTGGAAGTGGATGTGTGCCTTCATGGACTAGGGGTTTCTTTCTCCACAAGTTTTCCTAATTTTCTATGACTGTTTATATGCACCTTAATGGTGTAGGTGCATAACACCACGGTGCTTTAATGTGCGCATGTGAAGTATTTTTACCCTCTAAGGAGTCTTTCTGCTGTGCCTTTTGCAATCGGTTTTGTCTATCTCGTATTGGCCTCATTAGCCACCAGCGTGCCTGTAACAAATGTGGATAGAGCCTTCCTTAATCTTTGTTCGTGAAGCCTAGCCATGACAAATGAAGTATTTAGCCGCTGTTGAAAGCTATATGAATCTATGAATGTGAATGTAGAATGTCCTGATTGTGGCCTCAGCAGAGTTACTGTATCAGTGCTGCCGCTGTGCTTCTCTCTCCTTCTCCTTTTTTTACATTTATATTAAAGTTTGTATGACCCCACGGCTGTCCCTCGTGTTCTCGTGTCGGTGCGGGAGCTGCGGGGGCCGCTCGCCCCGTGCGGGGCGGGGAAAGACCCGAGGGAAAGTTCGCGGGTGCCGGGGTGGGGGGGCACGTTCGCCCTGAGGGAGCCAAGATGGCGGAACGCCCTCACGGTTCCACCAATCAGGGGCACCCACTGCAGACGGGGCCAAAGCCTCCTATTGGCTGTTTGACCCGTCACTCTTGGCTCCCGCGCGCTGATTGGTCACGGCCGTGAGAGTGGGTCACGCCCACGAAGGAGTCGTCCTCGGAGTCGTGGAGCGACGGCAGTGTCCGGACCCCGGTGAGGCGGCGGGTGAGGAGCTCGGACGCGGCCCCGGCCCAGGTGAGACCCGCGCTCGCTTCTCCTGGGGCTGGAGGCGCTCGGGGGTTCTGGCGGTTTGGTCCTTCCCCGCGTTTTAAAGGTGGATTTGGGGTCCCGTTCAGCCCAAATGGTTCCGTAACGCAGTGAGAGCACAGGTCCTCTGAGGAGAGGCTGAGGGAGCTGGGGGGGCTCAGCCTGGAGAGGAGGAGGCTCAGGGGAGACCTCCTCACTCTCTACAACTACCTGACAGGAGGGGGGAGCTGGGTGGGCTTCGGGCTCTTCTCTCAGGAACCAGCAGTAGGACAGGAGGGCGCGGTCTCAAGCTGTGCCAGGGGAGGTTTAGGTTGAATGAATTCTTTGCAGAGTGAGTAATCAGCCACTGGAATGGGCTGCCTTGCCAGTTTTCACCTGCTGTATGGCCTTAAGAGTTTCTCCCATAGTAGGGGCAATATCCAATTCATTTTCCACCGGTTGTTGTGTAATGGACTGAATTGCTGAGCCTTGAACTACACAGTTGATACTGAAAAGAGTCTGAAAGTGTTCAGACCATCGATTCAGAATGGAGGTTTTATCTGTGAGAAGCGTTTGCCCATCAGCACTGAGTAGAGGGCTTTGGACCTGGTGTGTAGGTCCATATGCTGTTTTCAAGGCCTCATAGAATCCTCTGTGATCACCCGTATCTGCGCATAATTGAATTTTTCCTGCTAGACTGATCCACCACTTGTTCTGGATGTCACGGAGTTGCTGTCGGAGCTTGCTGCGTGCGAGACGAAAGGCGGCTTTTCTTACATGACAAGAAGGCTGAGCGAGGTGTGCTCGGTGGGCAGTTCTCCCTCAACAATTCCTGGATCTCTTAATTGTTTTCATCAAACCAGCCCGTGTTCTTCTTGAAGGAGAAAAGTTCCTCAGAGGACTGCAGGATGCAGTTGCTGGACGGCGATCTGACCGCGCCGGGAGAGAAGGAGAATGACGAACAGCGCCGGGCGAGAACGAGAACGAACAGCGCCGTGCTGGGCTGCACAGCGATCGTGCCGCGCCGGGCGAGAACGCGAACGACGAACATTGCCGTGCTCGCCTGCACAGCGATCGGAGCGAGAACGAACCGCGCCCGGCTGCCCGGCGATCGGAGCGCCCCGGGCTTTCTTCCTACGCTCCTCTCATTGGCCGGAGCTGGTCAGCGCGTCATGTTGCACCCGCCCCCGTGTGCCTGAAATGCCCCGGCACCGAAACGCAGGTGTGCAAACGCGGGGAATCGTCGGCGGAGAAGAAGGAAAAGGAGAAAGAGGAGGAGAAGAAGGAGAAGGAGAGCGCGTGTTGTCCAGGCGCAGGTGGGAACCGCTCGGTGCTGCCGGGGCTCGGGGAGCGGGAGGGGGTGAAAAGGGGGGTCTGGCGGGTTCGCCTTGCCCTGGGCGGGGAGTGCTGGCGGTGCTGGGGAGGGGGCTCTGGCGAGCACTGGAGGTGAAGAGTTTGGAGCGGCCGCCCCCGGTGGCTCTCACCGGGTCTCAGCGCCGGCCCCGCGCAGCCCGATCGCTCATCGCGCCGCATCGGCCGCGGGGGCGGGGAGGGGGGAGCGGGGGGAGCCACCGATCGGGCCGGCGGGGCTGTCCCTGTACCCAACCGTGCGCCCCCGTCGGGGATCGTCCCGGTGCCTCCCGGTCGGACAGAGTTGGCTGCCCCGTCCCCGGGAGTGTTCCCGGCCAGGTGGGACCGGGCTTGGAGCCACCGGGGCTGCTGCGAGGTGTCCGGGGCAGCGGGGGGATGGGATGGGCTTGAAGGTCCCTCCCATCCCAAACCATTCTTGGATTGAATGACAGATGCGATCCTGCCATGCCGGGGCTGGAGCCACCGCGCTGCTGCTTTTCTTTCCGGTCCCCGGCACAGTTTACAAGCAGTGACTCATTAGTCCAGGCAGGAGCCGCTGGGCGCAGTCCCTCTCTGGACTGTTCTCTACCTATTCTCTACAGTCTGACACAATGCTCTGGGGAACGGCCCTACACGTGTGGGGAGTGTGGGAAGAGCTTCAGTGACAGCTCCACCCTGATCCAACACCGGCACATCCACAGTGGGGAGGGCCCTACAAGTGCTTGGAATGTGGGGAGAGGTTTCAGACCAGCTCAGATGTCCTCAGGCATGAGCAGACACACACAGGGGAGAGGCACTGACTGCGGGAAGGGCTTCAAGCAGAACTCCGGTCTTGTCAAGCACCAGCACATCCACACCGGAGAGAGACCCTGCAAGTGTGGGGAGTGTGGGAAGAGCTTCTCCAGGAGCTCTGCCTTGACCTCACACCAATGGACCCACCCATTATCCTGAGGATGTGGGGAGCCCCTCTGACCCCCTGCTGTGCCCCCTCCAGGCCATCCTGCACTAGGAGGGGCACATGGACTGTGGGGGCCTCTGGGGGGTCCCTGTTTACCTGGGGGGGGGGGTCCCTGTGGGTCTGGGAGTGTCCCTGTGGGTCTCTGTGGATTCGGAGGGGTCCCCGGGGGTCCCTCTGACCCCTCCATGCCCCCCCCCCGGCCATCCTGCCCCAGGAGGGGCATGGGGGCTCTGGGGGGTCACTGTGAGTCTGGGGAGGTCCCTGTAGGTCTGTGTGTATCTGGGGGAGCCTAGGGGGTCCCTGAGGATTTGAGGTCCACCCTCTGACCCCCCGTCTCCCCCCCAGGCCATCCTGCACCAGGAGGGGCACGTGGATGACACTCTGACCCTCACCCACTCCCAGCACCAGGAGTCGCAGGTTCCTGGTCGCAGGAACACAAGGCAAACATCTGTAGTGGTGTTAAATCTGCACTCAAAGAGGTTTTTTTCTCCCCTAGCAATGCCTCAGGTTCAAGATGGGGCTTGTCCCGGTCAGGAAGGTGCCTCTTCTAACTGGAATGGTGAGAATGCAGAGGAGTCCCTGAGTCTCCGGGATGGAACAGAAAACAGGAATATACACAAAACGATCCTTGGGAAATGTCAGGGTGAGTGCAGGGCCACCTGTGGCCTGTAGGGAGGGGACAGTGTTGCCAACAGAGGACGGGGATGGCAGGTGTGAGGCTGCTCCAGGGGTCTGGAAGAGGCCTCTCACCCCGTCAGTGGCTGGTGCCGACACTTCTGGCTGCTCTGGTGTTGGCTGGGGGGATGTGAGGGCTGGGCCTGCTCAGGACAGCCCCATCCTCACGGCCACTGTCTCTTTCCAGCTCTAGTCAATTGGTTCAGTTCCTGCCGAGGGCTGACTGTGCTCCTGTGTGTGATCCTGGTTTTAGTGGTGGCTGTGATTGTGCTGGCAGGTAAGGGAGGAGCAGCTACCTCACCCAACCCCTCTGCACAGGGCTGGGGTCCATGCTCTGTGTGGAGGGGAATCCTCAAATTCTTTGTCTCCCTTTGTCTCTCCAGTTGCACTTAAGTTTTCACAGCGTGTGGCTTGTCCTGAGGCCTGGGAGCAGCACAACAGCGTCTGTTACTACCTCTTGAGGGATGGGAGGACCTGGGAGCAGGCTCAGAATCGGTGCTCCGAGCTCGGGGCCTCCCTGGCCGTGCTCAGCGACAAGGCAATGGTGAGTGAGGGGCTCTGGGGGGTGTTTGGGGGGCAGAGGAGAGGCTGAGGGAGGTTCCTAGCCCGGGGCAGCTCTCACTGCCCGTTCCTCTCTCCCTCCCAGGACCACCTCCTCTCTCCCTCCCCGGACCACGTCTTCCGCCTCAATGGCAACCTGGATTACTGGCTCGGGCTGCAGAGATGGGGCGAGAGGTTTCAGTGGGTGGACGGCAGCAGCTACAACTCCTCGTGAGTCCCGGGGGGACGGGCAGGGGATGGGGGGGATGAGGCTGCTGGGACTGTCCCTCCTGGGCAGCGCTTGTCTCCTCATCTGCTGGGGGGAATGGGCAGAGACGACCTGTCCTGTTAACAGCCCTGCCCTGTAACAGCGCTGTCTCTGCTCCTCATTGCAGGCTGGAGGTCCTTGGCAATTCAGAGTGTGTGTACCTGGCGGACCATAAACTCAGGAGTGAGGACTGTTCAACAGAGCGGGCGTATCTCTGCAGCAAACCCCAACCTCACCTGTAATGGAAGTGAGGGAGAAAGGACCTTCTCCATCCTGAAGACTCACAGCTTTCCTTCTTCCACTAGCCCAGGGATGTCCTTCCACAGATGAACATTTGCTTTGTGACACATCTCAGCACAACCTCAGGAACCTCGGTGCCTTTTGTCATTGTCACCTCAGTAGCTGGTCTCAAGGAGGTGAACCTGCAGGGACATGATGTGGAAGTGGATGTGTGCCTTTGTGGACTAGGGGTTTCTTTCTCCAGAAGTCTTCCTCATTCTCTATTTATATTTACTTTATATTTATACTCTAACAGTTTACACTACATGCACTGTATTCAAGCACTAGAGTGCCTGAATGTGCTCATGTAAAGTATTTTTCCATTGCTGAACGCTACTTGAATCAATGAATGTGAACCTGGGATGTCCTGATTGTGGCCTCAGCAGAGTTACTGTATCAGTGCTGCTGCTGTGCTTCTCTCTTCTTCTCCTTTTTTACTCATTTGTATTAAAGTTTGTACGACCCCACTGCTGTCCCTCACGTCCTGGTCAGCACCAACAGCCCCTTCCCTTCCTGTGTTCCATCCCAGGGAAAACACAGCCCGGGGGACCTCATTTCCCTCCCTTGCCCCCCAGCAGGTACTGGGAGGCATTGGGGAGCATCAGGGAGCATTAGAGGGCACAGGGGGGGACTGGGAAAAGACTGGTGGGCACTGGGGAACACTGGATCTGGGCTGGGAGGCACTAGGGAGTATTGGTGGGCACTTGGAGGGCACCAGGGCACGCTGGGAGGATCTGGGGGATACTGGGAGGCACTGGGGGTTATTAGGAAGGGCACGTACCTCCACCAGCACAGCTCACAACCTCATAAGGGCACACAAGCTTCTGCCCCACTAAAATGATTAGGGCAAGCCTTTCACTCCCTACTTTTCCTGAGCCACCTACACACAGTCCCAGGGGTATTCCCGGGGAGATTCGCTCACCCACGACCCTCCGAGCAGGACTGTCCCACCCGCCCTCCTGCCGGTCCGGGGACCCCCCAGCCCGCCAGGCCCCCTCCGCCTCCCCCAGATTGGACTGGCAAAAAGCTCTGTGTGGTCCGAAGTCCCTCCTCTCCTCTCGCCCGGTGCCGCAGCCGCCACCAACCCCTCGGTGTGAGGGGGCCGTCCGGGGAACGGCTCCTGTTACACCCGCCCGCCAGCACTGAACGGCAGGTACCCAAACGCGGGGAAGAGGCGGCGGAGAAGAAGGAGGAGAAAGAGGAGAAGGAGAAGGAGAAGAAGAAGGGAGAAGGGAGAAGGAGAGCGCGTGTGGTCCAGGCGCAGGTGGGATGCGCTCGGTGCTGCCGGGGCTCGGGGAGCGGGAGGGGGCGAAAAAGGGGAGTGCCGGCGGTGCTGGGGAGGGGGCTCTGGCGGGCGCTGGGGGTGAAGTGTTTCGATCGGTGGCCCCCGGTGGCTCTCACCGGGTCTCAGCGCCGGCCCCGCGTAGCCCGATCGCTCATCGCGCCGCATCCCTGGGTCAGCGCCGTGTCCCCGTGTTCCTCGTCGTCCCCCCGCCCCTCCCGTGTCCCCTCTGGAGCCGGCCGGCGCCGGCGGAGGGGGGCGGAGCCGGCGGGGGGGCGGAGCCGGCGGGGGGGCGGAGCCGGCGGGGGGCGGAGCCGGCGGGGGGCGGAGCCGGCGGGGGGCGGAGCCGGCGGGGGGGCGGAGCCGGCGGGGGGCGGAGCCGGCGGGGGGCGGAGCCGGCGGGGGGGCGGCGCCGGCGGGTGGGCGGAGCCGGGCGGGGGGCGGAGCCGGCGGGGGGGCGGAGCCGGCGGGGGGGCGGAGCCGGCGGGGGGCGGAGCCGGCGGGGGGCGGAGCCGGCGGGGGGCGGAGCCGGCGGGGGGCGGAGCCGGCGGGGGGCGGAGCCGGCGGGGGGGCGGAGCCGGCCGTCCTCGGAGGTCCAGGCGCAGGTGGGATCCGCTCGGTGCTGCCGGGGCTCGGGGAGTGGGTGTGGGCGAAAAGGGGGGTCTGGAGGGCTCGCCCTGCCCTGGGCCGGGGGGTGCTGGTCGTCCTGGGAAGCGGGCTCTGGCGGGCACTGGGGGTGAAGTGGCCGCCCCCGGTGGCTTTCTCCCGGGTTTCAGCTCCCGCCGCACCCCCGCGCCAGCCCCGATCGCTCATCGCGCCGCATCCCTGGGTCAGCCCCGTGTTCCTCCTCGTCCCTCCGCCCCTCCCGTGTTCCCCATGTAAACAGAGCCGCCACGCGGGGGGGGCGGAGCCGGCCGTCTTCGGCGGTCCAGGCGCAGGTGGGATCCGCTCGGTGCTGCCGGGGCTCGGGGAGCGGGAGGGGGCAAAAAGGGGGGTCTGGAGGGTTCGCCTTGCCCTGGGTGGAGAGTGTGTGCTGGGAGCCGGGCTCTGGCCGCCCGCCCCGGCGGAGGGCGGGACCGCCCTCTCCCGCCACGAGGTGCGGTCCAGGGGCAAGTGGGATCCGCTCGGTCCTGCCGGGGCTCCGGGAGCGGGAGGGGGCGAAAAGGGGGGTCTGGAGGGTTCGCCTTGCCCTGAGTGGAGAGTGTCGGCGGTTCTGGGGAGGGGGCTCTGGCGGGCGCTGGGGGTGAAGTGTTTCGATCGGTGGCCCCCGGTGGCTCTCACCGGGTCTCAGCGCCGGCCCCGCGTAGCCCGATCGCTCATCGCGCCGCATCCCTGGGTCAGCGCCGTGTCCCCGTGTTCCTCGTCGTCCCCCCGCCCCTCCCGTGTTCCCCCTGTGGATCGACCCACCGAGGGAAAGTTCGCGGGTGCCGGGTAGGGGGGCACGTTCGCCCTGAGGGAGCCAAGATGGCGGAACGCCCTCACGGTTCCACCAATCGGGGGCACCCACTGCAGACGGGGCCAAAGCCTCGCTATTGGCTGTTTGACCCGTCACTCTTGGCTCCCGCGCGCTGATTGGTCACGGCCGTGAGGGTGGGTCACGCCCACGAAGGAGTCCACGGAGTTCTCGTCCACGGAGTCCTCGGAGTCGTGGCAGCACCGGGAGCGACGGCAGTGTCCGGACCCCGGTGAGGCGGCGGCGGAGCTCGGACGCGGCCCCGGCCCAGGTGAGACCCGCGCTCGCTTCTCCTGGGGCTGGAGGCGCTCGGGGGTTCTGGCGGTTTGGTCCTTCCCCGCGTTTTAAAGGTGGATTTGGGGTCCCGTTCAGCCCAAATGGTTCCTTAACGCAGTGAGAGCACAGGTCCTCTGAGGAGAGGCTGAGGGAGCTGGGGGGGCTCAGCCTGGAGAGGAGGAGGCTCAGGGGAGACCTCCTCACTCTCTACAACTCCCTGACAGGAGGGGGGAGCTGGGTGGGCTTCGGGCTCTTCTCCCAGGAACCAGCAGTAGGACAGGAGGGCGCGGTCTCAAGCTGTGCCAGGGGAGGTTTAGGTTGGATGTTAGGCGGGAATTCTTTGCAGAGTGAGTAATCAGCCATTGGAATGGGCTGCCCAGGGAGGGGCTGGAGTCCCTGTCCCTGGCGGTGTTGAAGGTGAGACTGGATGTGGCATCAGTGCCATGATCTGGGAAGCACGGTGGGGTTGGATACAGGGTTGGGCTTGGTGATCTCGGAGGTCTTTTCCAACCTGGTCGATGATTCTGTGAGAGGCCGCTAGGACAGCCCGGACTTGCATAGTGGTGTAACCACCTCCCTTTCATAAACCAGTATATCCCAGCCAGTAAACAGAATCCTCTCCTGGAAACGCTCCAAAGTGCCAGGGCAGGGGCTGTTCCCGGGTTGGGAAGGGCCCATGAGGGGACCGGGGATGGAGCTGAGGCTGCAGGAGCTGGACCCTGAGCTCCCGTTTGTTCTCCACAGGTCACTGTGAACGGACAGGGCAGGACTTTGCTGGCATCGCCTTCCTGAGCCCGAGTGTCCCACAGGGCCCAGCCGTGTCCTCTCATCATGGTCTCTCCACTCTGCCTCAACAGTGGTGGTAAAACCACCCCCTGGCCTGGGCTGAAAGAGGCTTTGCCAGCACCACTGATGCCTCGAGATGCAGCTTGTCACAAGCAGAGAGAGGGCGAGTTCGGACGTGGAGGGTGGATTCTGCTCCGGGGATGGGATTGTGGAGGAGCCCCTGGGTCCCCAGGATTGATCAGCAAACAAGAAAACGCCTTCTGGGTGATTGCAGGGCCACCCCTGTGTCCTGTGGGGAGGGGACAGTGTCACCCCACGAGGACAGGGCTGGCAGGTGTGAGGCTGCCCCAGGGGTCTGGAAGAGCCCTGTGAGGGATGTGAGCCCCGTCCTCACGGCTCTTTCCTGCCCCAGGCACGAGGCTCCTGGGGCATCTCGCCCTGGCAGTGGTTCTGCTCCTGCTCCTGGCTTTGGTGGTGGCCGTGGCTGTGCTGGCAGGTGAGGAAGGAGCAGCTGCCTCAGCTCAGAAGCAGCTCTGGGCACAGGGCTGGACTCCCTGTGGAGGGGAATCCTCAGACATTCTCCCTTTCCTTCTTCAGTGAGAAGACTTGGAGAGATTCCAGTCACGCCCGGGGTTCCAGAGTTTCTGGCCTGTCCCGAGGCCTGGGTCGGGTACAACAGGGTCTGTTACTACCTCTCGAGGGATGAGGGGACCTGGGAGCAGGCTCAGAATTGGTGCTCCGAGCTCGGGGCCTCCCTGGCTGTGCTCAGCGACAAGGAGATGGTGAGTGAGGGGCTCTGGGGGGTGTGTGGGTGGCAGAGGGGAGGCTGAGGGGGGTTCCTGGCCCGGGCCAGCTCCCACTACCCACTCCTCTCTCCCTCCCAGGGCTTCCTCTTCCGCCTCAATGGCAACCTGGATTACTGGCTCGGGCTGCGGAGACGGGGCGAGCGGCTGCAGTGGGTGAACGGCAGCAGCTACAACTCCTCGTGAGTCCTGGGGGGACAGGGGGGCACAGACTGTCCCCCCCTGTGGTGCCAGCGCTGTCTCTGCCCCTCCTTGCAGGGTCCCCGTCCTGGGTGACTCCGAGTGTGTGTACCTGGGCCACCGGCGCTTCAGGAGCGGGCTCTGCTCGGCTCAGCGGCCTTACCTCTGCAACAGACCCCAGGATCGCCTGGAATAAACGGTGGGAAGGGGATCTTTTCCTCCATCCTGAAGACTCAACAGCTTTGCATCTTCTCCCAGCACACCTCAGCTCTCCACCTGCCTTGCAGTTGTTTATCTGCATCACCTCAGAGCCTGGTGCCACGGATACCTCAGTGCAACCCCTCAGGGTCACCTCAGTGCCTGGTGTGAAGGAGATGAGCCTGCAGGGAGGGGAGATGATGTGGAAGCCCATGTGTGGCTGCCTGAACTGGGGACTCTGGGTTTCTTTGTCCTTCTAGAACCGTCCCAGAACTCATCCTGCTTCTCTAACAGTCCACAGTTGTACCCTAACCCTGTATACATGTATGATGCTGCCTATCCGGAGTGAAGCAGGAGATCCCACGTTCACTTTTGCAATAAAACCTTGGGAAATCCCCCCCTGTCCCTTCCCCTGCTCCCCCTGCCACTTTCCATGATTCCATCCCAAATGTCGGAGCCTTGGAGCTCCCAGGGGTGACCTGGGGCTGCTTCCCAGTGCTCCCAGTCTGCCCAGTCACCCTGGAGGGCTTCAGGGGGGGCGATGGCACACAAGTGCTGCTGGGGGGGTCCCACCTCACTTCTGTTTGTTTTGTGCTTCCCGAGCTGGGCAAAACCGATTTTTGGACTTTTCTGCCCGAACTCTGTCCCCCTCCTCCGCTCGGGCAAAAGGGATTTGGGGCCGTTTTTTCCCCCTTTTCGGAGGGAAATCGGGTGCGTTTGTGCGCCGTGGCCGACAGGGGATGCGCACGAGCCGGGAATTCCCGCGGACATTCCCTCGGTCCTGTCCGGGCACGGGGCGAGCGGCCCCCGTGGGACCCCAAAACCAGCTGTGAGGGCAGTCTCAGAAACCAGGACTTGGCCCCTCAGGCACTTGGAGCTGCACGAGGGGGGCAAAGGATCCCCCAGTGCCCCCCCCTGAACAGGGCCGTGTCCTGTCCGATGGGGCTGAGGGGGACGAGGGGGTGTCAGACAAGAGGGGAAAAAACCCCCTAAATGACCGGGGGGTGTCAGCTCCTCCTGCCCTGCCTGGTTCTGACCCTGCCATGGCTGCAGCATTTCTGCCACCACCCCATCCCTGAGAGATGCTTCTTGGGGAAGCAACACCAAATATCACCTGTCACGTTTCAGCCTCATCCCCTAAAAACCTCAATCACAGGCTTTTTGAGTTAATTTAATAAATTAATTTGATTAATTTAATAATTTTCCACCTGTTCAGCCCAACCCTGCACATGTTCCTGCACTTCCAGGTGAGCCCCCCCCTCCTCCTCCTGGCTGGGGACAGGACCCCTTTCCCCGGGCACAGGGGAGGCTGCAGAATACAGAGATATGTTTTAAAAAAAACCAAAGAAACATAAAAGGCCTGGTTGGTGCCATTTCCCGGGACCGGACGCGCGTTGGTCACGAGGTGAGAAGGTGTCCGAGGCTGGTGTCGCTCTCGGGACACGCCAACGACCTCCAGAGCCACCATGGCTGGGGAAATGGGTCATGCCAATCTAAGAAATCCTGGGAATGAGCCTCCTCCGGCTGAGAAATGTCCTGGTGAGTGTATTTTGGGGGAAAAAAGGCTTATTTCAGGCCCTGGGAAGAGTTTTGGGTCCATTACCTTTGGGGTCCCTTCGCTTCTCCATCCCCATGTTCAGGTTTCCAAGCTCACGGAGTGGCCTTTGAAATGGGGTCTGGGCTTGTCTGGAGCAAGACAGGGACAGGAGAAGCTGGAAAATCTCCGGAACTGGAACAGTTTTGTTTCCCAGACCCTTCACTCAGTGGCCAAAAGGGGCCCCAGGAAGCCCCAGGGGAGCCCCCACCCCTGGGAGGGCAGGGAAGGGGCTGAGCCCCGTCCAGACCCCGGAGGAGTCGAGGGCTGGAAGGACCCACAGCCACCAACTCCCAGCTGGAAACTGAGCCCGTTTGGGAGTTCCCAGGTCCTGCCCTCTGTCACTGGGTCCTCGAGGCTGCTCCCGAGGCTGCTGCACCCCCTGAGCCCCCCAAACCCCCCCGGGGGTGCTGCCCTGGCTCGAGCCCTGTCAGGGGGGATTTATGGCTTTGGAGGAAGCAAAGCAACCAGAAACTTCTGCTCGAACTCACAGCTCAGCACAGGGGTTTGGGTTTTTTTTGTGCTCTAAACCCCCAATCTTCTTCGTGTTTTTTTAAGCTTAAATGTGGCCTCTTCCAGCTCCTGCCCTGTGCCCGTGGTGGCACAGAGTCCTCCTCACAGCCGGGGCGCTGGGGCACCTCGTCCTGCTGGTGCTGGTGGTGCTCCGAAATGTGAGTGGTGAGTAACCAGCTCTTATCTCCATCTCACACCCCGGCGAGGAGAGGCCTGGGAGCGGAAATCTGGGTTAATTGCAGTGGTTCAGGCCCTGGAGGGGGGGTGCAGACACGAGAGCCAAGAGTAAAACCCCCTCTGGGCACACCTGGATCATCCCCACAAACGAGAGAGGAGGGCAAGACCAGACCCGTGGGCTTCGGGCCTAATTCATTAACTGTGGGGCAAAACCCGACCTGTCTCTGTGGGGTTTGTGGTTTGGCTTCAACTTCTCACTTTGCTGCCAGTTTTTCAGGGCTTTCTAGGTCTGAGTGACAGCAGAGTTGAGATCCAGGCCAGGAACCAGACGGAGCGATGCATCTTCCCATCCCTGGTGCGGTACTTCTGCCAGCCCCAGGGGCAGAGTCCCCCAGGTGAGCCCCCTTCCCACCTGGCTCTGCTGGGAGAGGCTCAGGTGGCACCTCGGGGGGCTCCTCCTGTGAGGAGACCCTGCATTGAGGGTTCTTTGGCAAAAAGGAGCATTTTCAAGGAAGAATTCCCTTTTCCATGCGATTTTTGGCAGTCCCACCTCCCCGGAGGAGCACGGTCAGCCCAAGGGGGGATGTTTCTCACCACCCTTCCTGCACCCCAACCACCCACTGTGCCCTTATGGTCACCCAACTTCTTCCTCCTCCTCTTCTTCCCCCTCCTCTCCCTCTTCCTCCTCCTCCTCTGTGGTGGCAGAGCAGAAAAACCACAACGCTGGGAAATAACTTGAGGGTTTGGTGCCTTTCATTTGGGGGGTCGGGGAAGACCTTGCCCACCTTTGGGGGGTCTCATTCGTGGCCTTTCCTCCTCTCCAGCCCCTGTTGGCTGCAAGTTGTGCCCCCAGGACTGGCAGCTTCGTGGGGAGAGATGCTACTGGCTCTCCAAGGAATCGGGAAACTGGACTCGGGGCAGGAAAAGCTGCAAAGATCAGGGCTCTGAGCTGGTGGTGCTCAAGAACGAGACAGAAATGGTAAACAGGGAGGAAAAGGCTTGAGTTTTTAGAGGGGGAGCAGGGGAGCAAAAGGCTCCCAGCAGCAGGAGGGTTTGGGGTTCAGAGCATGGGGACGCTCGTGTCCCATGGATTTGGGGGGTCAGGTTTGTGCTGTGGCTTTGCACCCCACGGAACTACCCACAGAGAGATTTTTTTGGAGCAACTGGTCCCTTCCACGTCCCAGGAGAATGTCGAGAGTGTCACAGGCAGACGCCCACGGTCGGTGTGGGTCGGGTTGAGGTCACGGCAGAAGGAGTGGACGTGGGTGGACGACACCCCCTATGACCTCCACAGGTGAGTGTCCGAGGTCTGGGGGGGTAAAAAAGCAGCTTTGATTCATTTGAGACCCCGATCCATGTCCACACATCGCTGGGGTCCATGCAAGGGTCTCTTATTCCTCTGGCAACACTCTGCAGACCAAGAATCGGGGTCACGGGGCACACTGGGGGAAGGGGCACATTGGGGTTGGTTATGGGGCACGTTGGGGTTGGTTATGGGGCACACTGGGGCCATGGGGCACATTGAGGTTGGTTATGGGGTACTTCGGGTCACAGGGCACATTGGGGTTGGTTATGGGGCACATTGGGGTCATGGGGCATATTGGGATTGGTTATGGGGCACATTGGGGTCATGGGGCATGTTGGGGTCGGTTATGGGGCATATTGGGGTTGGTTATGGGGCACACTGGAGTCATGGGACACTTTGCTCCTCTCAGCCAATAAACCCTTCATTGTGCAGGTTTGGGGTCCTGCAGGAGCCAGACAAAGGCTTCTGTGGGACCCTGAAAGGCAAGAGCTTGGAGGTTGATGGCTGTGACAGTGACCACAAGTGGGTTTGCCAAAAAGCCCCTTTCCAGCTCTCCTCGCCCACGGTTGGGAATTTGAGATGATGCCTCCACCTGACACACTCGGGCAATGGACCCCGTGCGGTACAAAAAAAAAATTTATTACAATTTTTTCATGGTTTATCCACCTCATTACATCAGCAGTAAATTACTATTAGTGACTTTTCTCTATATCTGCTCTTTAATTAAGCATTTACAGAGCATGAGAAAAATACTCCCAAGCAATTTCACACACATGCGGATTTATCACCACATCTGCATTTATCTTTTCAAGTTCCCCATGACTTCCTTCCAGACTCATATAATCTCAGTCCCTACACTTAAGCGTTATTTTTATGCTTTTACATTACTATAGATAACAAAAAGCGGCTCCATCCCTGCTTTCCTTTGCAATCAAACTCTCCTAAACTAAACACACATATTCCAACACCCGTCCCTTCGGTGCCTTCACTCTAAACCCACCTCACGGGAGCCAAGAGTGATGGGTCAAAGAGCCATTTAGCCCCGTCCTCAATGGGTGTCACCGATGGGTGGAACTGGCGGTTCTGTGAGGGAGATTCTGTGAGGGCACTTCTGTGAGGGCAGTTCTGTGAGGGCAGTTCTGAGGGTGACTCTGTGAGGGCACTTCTGTGAGGGTGATTCTGTGAGGGCAACTCTGTGAGGGCAGTTCTGTGAGGGCAGTTCTGTGAGGGCACTTCTGTGAGGGCACTTCTGTGAGGGCAGTTCTGTGAGGGCAGTTCTGAGGGTGACTCTGTGAGGGCAGTTCTGTGAGGGAGATTCTGTGAGGGCAACTCTGTGAGGGCAGTTCTGTGAGGGCAGTTCTGTGAGGGCAGTTCTGTGAGGACAGTTCTGAGGGTGACTCTGTGAGGGCAGTTCTGTGAGGGCAGTTCTGTGAGGGCAGTTCTGTGAGGGCGACTCTGTGAGGGCAGTTCTGTGAAGGCGACTCTGTGAGGGCAGTTCTGTGAGGGCGACTCTGTGAGGGCAGTTCTGTGAGGGCGACTCTGTGAGGGCGACTCTGTGAGGGCAGTTCTGAGGGTGACTCTGTGAGGGCAGTTCTGTGAGGGCAGTTCTGTGAGGGCAGTTCTGTGAGGGTGACTCTGAGGGTGATTCTGTGAGGGCAGTTCTGTGAGGGCGACTCTGTGAGGGCAGTTCTGTGAAGGCGACTCTGTGAGGGCAGTTCTGTGAGGGCGACTCTGTGAGGGCAGTTCTGTGAGGGCGACTCTGTGAGGGCGACTCTGTGAGGGCAGTTCTGAGGGTGACTCTGTGAGGGCAGTTCTGTGAGGGCAGTTCTGTGAGGGCAGTTCTGTGAGGGTGACTCTGAGGGTGATTCTGTGAGGGCAGTTCTGTGAGGGCGACTCTGTGAATGTGTTCCGCCATCTTGGCTCCCTCAGGGTGAATGGGGCAATCCTGGCACCCGCAGTCAATCCCTCAGGTCTTTCCCCGCCTGCACGGGGCGAGCGGCCCCCGCAGCTCCCGCACTGACCAGGACATGAGGGACAGCGGTGGGGTCTTACAAACTTTAATATAAATGTAAAAAAAGGAGAAGAAGAGAGAAGTAGAGCAGCAGCACCGATACAGTAGGCTAAGGCCTGATATGGTTTAAAGCTGGCTCCCTGCCAAGTCTCCAAACCTTACCACCAGAAGTCCCCCCCCCCCAAACCTCAGGGAGAAGAGGGAGGAAAAAAAACTAAGAAAACCCGAAATGAGAGAGAAACAACCAAAGTGAGATATATAAATATATTTACACTTATATACAATTAAAAATATACAATTTCACAAGGGAAAAGGGAAGGGGGAAGGGAAAGGGAACAAAACTAAACTAAAATATATATATATATCCCAATTAGTGACCCAATATCTAACAACTAAAAAGTTAGCAAAGAAAATACCTCACTACTCTCCTGGGACAACTGAGAGTCGCTCCGGAACGATCGCCGGCAACCTCCGCCTCCCAAGGTCGGCAAGGCCTAACCAGGCCTCGCTCCCCAACACGGCAGACCCAACAGCAGGGAACCTGCACCTCCAAGCCGCCGGAAGGAAAAAGAGCGAAGGCCTCTCCTCCTTTCTTCTTATAGTCTGGCTTAGGTAAAAATCGTAGGGAATACTGGGTAAATCTGGACCCTTCCTTGGTTACAAACTGGTCACCAAGGAAGGCCTGGCCCAAACCACCACAGGCCACAATCAGGACATTGTACATTCACATTCATTGATTCAAGTAGCGTTCAGGAATGGAAAAATACTTCACACGCGCACATTCAAGCACTATAGTGCTTGAATGCAGTGCATGTAGTGTTATGTATGTAAACTGTTATAGAGTATAA